TACAATCTCTCTGTTTATTTTATTTTTCTTCGTTTACAAAATATATTAGTATGGCAACACTGATGTTTTGACATTCACAACCATTTTGTTATTGTCAAAATTAATAAAATTGAAGAATGATTTAAATATTGAAATAAAGCTATTATTGCAGCATCTAATATAAAAAAAATTTCTAAAAACTAATTGGTCAAGTGTTAGTGAATATAAAAGTGAAAAATATAAGTGTATAATTCATTTTAAATCGCAAAAATACGTACTTTAAATAGTTGAAATTTTCAACTTTAAACGTAAATACCTCGAAAACTATAAGTTTCCCGCGGCTATATCTATATATATTCTTGATCTGGAGGATCTCCTCTATCCGCCCATACCCATTTTATCCCCGAAAGCGTGGGACGTTATTCTAAAGCCGACCCGTTATTTTAATATCTAACGTAATTACATGTACACTTATCCAAATTCGACCGATCAGTAGCATGTGCAGAATAATAGATTTGTATCTGTTTCAATATCAAGTTAAATATATGAAATACAGATGGCGCTATTCTATAACGCCAACCGCAAAAGATATGAACTTTTAAATTTAAAATCTTACGTAATACAAAGTTCACTACCCTCCCTGCCCATGGTAAGAAGTTATAAGATTCATAAACACCCCTCTCTCTAAACGCCTTTCATAATTTATAAATGCCCCTTATGCTATCTTAGAATATTACCTCAGCGCCATCTACCATTCGCAACTGCAAGTCAAATATACTTTTGAATATCTGACACAACTGCAGCGCAGTCTCCCGAAATTCTATGTCAGAGGTCAACAACAATTTAAAAAATAAATAAATTCATTGTTAAAACATTATCTAGTTGATCAAATTGGGAATTTAAACCATCCTCGACACCCTTTGAACTCACACAAAAAATTTCATCAAAATCGGTCCAGCCGTCTAGGAGGAGTTCAGTGACATACATACGCACAGAAGAAATATATATATAAAGATTAATTATTTTATTAATTGCTTAAAATAAGCATTTTATTTTTACACAATTTTTGTTTTATGCACAATAACAAATGGGTTCCATATTGACAGATAATAAGTGTTGTCATATTACATATACAAACTATAATTTTCCGGCGGCTATAATTTTTTGTTCTGGAGAATTTTTTATTTCTAACTATACCCATTTTAACCCGGAAATCGTGGGATGGTATACAAAAAAAAAATAAATATGAATAATAAGTGCATAATACAAAAGACAAATTAGGTATATATCGAAAAATTGCAAGATAAAATTTGTAAAATTTTTAATTTCAAATGATAATATTTCGAAAATTATAAGTTTCCGTCGGCCATAATTATGGGTCGGCTTTAGTTTAGCATCCCACGATTTCAGGGTTAAGAGGGGTATTATTGGATAGAGGAGATTCTCAAGATCCCGAATATACCTATATAATTATTGCCGCCGGAAACTTATATTGTAGTTTTTGAAATATTTGCATTTTAAGTTGAAATTTCACAAAATTTATTTTAAAATTTCTTGGTTGGTTAACTTTTCTTCTTTATTATGCACTTATTATACACTAACACTTTACTACAATGTTTCTACATATTTATTTTATATTATTTATTTAAATATTTGCTTTAAATAAGCATTTTATTTTTACACAAACGAATGAAAGCAATCAAAATAAATAAAAAAAAAACCCAACCAGGTGTCGCTGGGCCAAGCACCAAACTCTCCATTTCCATGGGAAGTTTCCCCAGCATTTTCCAAGTCGAGGTCTTTGCTATAAGTCGGTGTGTAGAGATAAACCTCCAACGCAACTATCGCAATAAAAGTATCGCTATACTCAGCGATAGTCAGGCGGCACTAAAAGCGATCTCTGCCTATGAGGTCAGATCACTTCTAGTGCTGGAGTATATAGAACGGCTGAACAGCCTATCAGAGCGCAACCGAGTGCACCTTATTTGGGTGCCTGGCCATAGGGGTATAGCCGGGAACGAACTGGCTGACGAGTTGGCCCGCTCTGCAGCCTCTTCAAAAATGGTAGGACCGGAACCATTCATAGCGGTTGGTCCACATACCATTAAAGTGCTCCTCCGTAGTGAGGAAAGAGCAGGCAGGGAGACACATTGGCAACAACTTCAGGACATGCACCATGCCAGGCTGCTAAAGGGGGGTTACGACCTCAAACCGTTTAAAGCCATAATTCAACATAGGCATAGAGCCGGAAACCCCTGAACATCTGCTGATGAACTGCACAGCAGTCTGCAGACGCAGAATCAAGGCCCTGGGAGCCATGTTTCCACACAGGGATTGTATCGCCTCACTAGCACCCAGCAGAATTTTGGAATTTATCAACATGCTGGGCATAGATGATACGATATGACTTAGGGGAGGCCACAATAGACCATAGGTCGCAGTGCATACCTCAAAATTAATCTATTCTATTCTATTCTATCCCTCATCAGCCGAACAAGGTGGGGCAGTAAGACCTGCTCCCCCTGCTTCAGAAATGTTGGAAAGATGCCTTCCGCACCCTAAGACTTGTACTTTTCGAAAGAAGCCGTAGCCCACTTGATAAAGTCTGCAGTGAAGAGCTGTTTTGCGACTAACCAATCTAAGCGAGCTGGCTTTCGTTCGACCACGGGTTGAATAAGGTCTTCTCAATTTGTGTCTGGGAAATGCGCGAGTAGAAGCACCGTGGCTCTTTCTTTTGCGCTGGACGTACTGGCCCCATCCCATTTTTTAATTGATAATGCTGTGTCCGTCTTGCTGCTAGCCAGGGCCTTTTGCAGCTTTTTTGCCTCTGGTGTTAAGGAGACACTTCCACAGAACTTCCGGAAGCTTTTCTGCTTTGCTGTCCTAATGTCCTTGTTGTAAGCAGTTAGGCTGCACCTGTAGTCCTCCCAGTTCCCGGTACGCTTGGCTTTGTTAAACCGTTTGCGTACCGTTTTTCTTAGTTCTGAGAGCCTACTAGACCACCAGGAGTAGCTGCGGCTCTTGGTGGTTGTTTTTATGGGACAGCTGCTGTGATATGCCTCTATAATGGATTGGTTTAGCGCAGACAATCTGCTCTCTAATCCAGAAGCTGTTGCACTGCTATCCAGCTGCCCCTCCTACTAACATTAATTTCACGCGTGTCCCTAAAAGTGGCCCAGTCCGTGTTTCTAGGGATGTGCCTGGGAGAGAGTTGCTTGATCTCTATCCCCAGTGCGAATCTAATGATACGGTGATCTGACATGGAGGGTTCTGATGACACTCTCAATTGCGAAGAGTGATGTCCACCACCTCCGTTCTGACAATAGTTACAAAGGTGGGTTCGCACCCCATCTTTACAATGCATCCTAGGACGGGGTGCAGCTTATTCCTCCTGCAATACTCCACCAGGTTTGCCGACTGCCCCATTCCGTATGGTGGGCTTTGGCGTCGCATCCTAGGTTGAGGGTCAGCTTATTCCTCCTGCAGTACTCCACCAGATTGCCGACTCTGGAGGTGATGTCGGTGTCTCCCCCGGAAAATAGGCCGCTGCCAGGACGAAGTCCGCTCCTTCGTTGTTTTTTGCTTCTACAGCGAACAAGTCCTGTGCTAAGAACTCTGAAATACAAAAGAAATCAATATCGCTCCTAACTACTACGCAGGTTCTAGGTCTCTCACTAGAGAGATCCCAGATTATGCTTGTTCGACCCCATTTTGAGGCCTCTGACCTCTCCTTTATAGTTCCGTGGCTCCTGGATCAACAGTATGCCCAGACCATCCGATGTGAACCTGCTCGCGATGACTGCTGAGGCCGAGGTGCAGGTTCACCTGGGCACATTCCATGAGTGGCCCCATTACAGGATCGGTTCCATGAGCAACTGGTCCTCATCCACCTTGTCCTCCGCGTTGCCACCCGCTGGTCCGTGAGTCCTTCCAGAAGTTCTTGCGTGGAGGGTAGCACCCCCCTTCTGTGCGCCCGTCTTATGAGTAGGGACCTTCACCATGGTTTCAGTAGTTGCCGCCTACTTGGACGTACAAGCGCCGGGTTGAGCAGCGATCTCACCCACCAGCATCAGCCTGTATCGGTGGTCGTTTTAGGCTTGCATGTCCTCATAACCTCCGAGCTGAACCTATAGTTCAGACGGAAACTCTCCCTCCGGACGAATTTATACGATTCGTCGACTATGCCGAGGTTGAGCCTCCACTCTGAATCCTCAATCTTCTGGTTATTGATGATCCCGAGAGCAAACTCGTACGGTTTGCCCTCGCACCTGGGGAGGAATATCGTCCTATCATCGTTGCAGTCAATCTGCAGCATGCCTCCTTTCAAATATACCCCATGGAAAAAGGCTGCGTATCCATACCCTCTGAACACCTTCTCCATGAGTAGGTCTTAGAGCACGGTAAGCTTCTCCGACCCCAGCGTGTCCGCCGGGTAGTTTAGATTCAGCACAGCCATCCGCATATCTGCGCTTGTTCCTCTACTGGCCGAGGAGGGTTCGGGGCGGGGTGGTGTCCTCCGGTCGCCTGTGCATTGTTGCCCCTCTGCCGTTTGGAGTTAGGCGGCTCCTGCAACGTCAGCTGCCCACATTTTCGCTTCTGTATACGGGCGCATCACATTCCATAATTCTATCTGATCTGGTTAATAAAGAAGTGAGACCACAAGCTGGGACAAATTTGCGTACTAGAACTAGAGAAGATACCAAGTTATCGGAAAAGTAACGTGCGAGATAGTAATTGGAAAGGCAGCCGTGTAACACAATTTTATAGTGGTAAATATCGTCGACTAAGTCATAATTGGAGTAGACTAGAGGCAAAGTTATATTAAAGATCTACTATATAAAGGCTGCAGGATTGTGCAGCACAGACAGTTGTAATTACGGTGTTGCCGTGTAAAGAGCAATTAAGCTATAAGCAAAGAGTTATAAACTCAAATAGCAAGCAATAAGTTAAGTTGTTGGAATTAGAAATAAAGATAAGTGTATAGCATTAAACTAGGACTTTAATTTAACAATCCAGTGATCGAACTCAAGAGTGAGTTATAGTTAGACGATTTATCGAGAAATCCGTTACCATAGTTTCTATTTTATTTCACAAAACTGTACATTTTTATTGATGCATTAAACGAAGTTTAATATATTAATTAGTTTTAAACTTAAATATGACTTACGACAATAAATGTACATAAACGAGGCACCTCCATTTCACATTTCAAGTAGTTAAACAATAAAGGTATTTGTTAATATTTGGTGGTATATCCATTGTTTTTATTCACGCAAAGTGCGCCCCTGACTCTCCTTGTCTTCGATGCTGTTTTTGTTGTTGTAGCGGCAGAATTCTGCCGAGATGACAGTTCTTGACCGGATAAAATCTGGGTACGTTCCGGTTACGTAGACCCGACTGTCGTGGGAACGGCCTTGGCTTCGATCGTTCCACATGCTTCGTTCTAGCTGTTCTCCCAAAAAGCAAAAGTGAAGAGCTTGGAACATTGTTTTTGCGGGGCAAGGAGAAGCAAGCATCAGCGTACGTGTATTTATGAAAGTGTGTATGCGTGATAATACGTGTAAATACGCATAAATAAGGGAACATTAAATATTTTAATTATCTGGCTAAATCGACAAACTGAAATAATGATAAACATGTAAACATATAAAATCACATGCAGTGTGTGCTTAGAACTTATAGAAGTAATTAAAGATTTAATATGAATGGTAACTTTATATAGTTTTAATAATTTTATGCCATAACATATATGTATAGTGTCTAATATAAAACAAATTAAAATAATAATTTAAGTCGCTAATAGGCCATGTTGCCTATTCTCCTTTCTGAAAGGAACATTAGACAAATTCTTCAAATGTGGCTGTACAAATTGAAATTTTGGTTGATTTCTTCAATATTACAAATTCATTTCATTTTATTTACCCATAATTTTTATCATCTTTATCCTTTCCGAGTACGAATTCCATATGAAACCAAATTGTGGTTGACCAGGCGTACGGAAAAAAGAGCGAGACGCAGAGTTATGAATGAACGCATTTTGTTTTGCAGCAGACGCACATGCCTTATGACTGAATTCGTGGTCGTTATAATATGAAATACTTCGAAACTATGCCGCAAGCTTGCTCGAATCTTATTGGTTGATGATGGTACTCGAATATTTAATTTTTTGCAAATAGCATATTGAGGGACATACATATGTATGTGTCTACATATGTGTACAAATATGAAAATGAATTTGCGTATGCGCATGAAGGAAAGGCAATTTCGAGAATATTCACATACAAATTGCTCATTTGAAAAAAGTACACGATGATAGCTGTTTGAACACACACATTAAACTCGTTCGTCCAGATGTCTGTGGTGCTGCTTGTATAGCTGATGAACGAGCTAAACAATATTGTCTTACCTCTGGTGGGAAACTAAAATTGATACACACTTCATCTAATGAGAACTATTTCATTCTAACTTTATCTCAGTATCTTATATACTATTTTTAAAATCTATTTTATCTATTGTAATTTAATGTATGTATATATGTGTATGTTTGTACGTATTGTCACACGACACTCAATGCATGTGCGCGTGTGTGTACCTATTTAGTTTACAATTCCTGTAATCACATGCTACATACATCGGTGGTACACTAATTAGCACACCCTCACATATTCCAATAGTCCTGCTTGAAAATTAAAGATAACAGTAATTTAATTTTTTTTTTGTATATTCATAAGTTGTTATTTTGCCGTTATAAATCACGCGTTACTAAAAATTTTGGGTTTAGTTTCAAAGAAGTAAGTTCGGTGGGGGAAGTGTTATGGTGTGCGGTTGGTTTACGAAGCTTGGTGTTGGTCCTATTGTGCATATAACGGGCAAGCTAGATTCTGTAGCATACCAGAAGTTGCTTGAAAATTACCTCGTGCCGTTTTTGAAAGACTTACCGTTATCTGCATACACCACCGCAGTTTACCAATAGGACAATGCGCCCTGCCATAAGTCGAGATCATTCCGTTGCTGAATTGCCTGCCAGAGTCTAGACCTCAATGCAATGGAAAATCCGTGGGCAATAATAAAAAGGCGAGTCATGGCACTGAAACCGAAGACAGTGCACGATTTATGGGTAGTTATTCAACAGGAATGGCAGAAAATTCCCAATGACATCCGAGATGATGTACATCAGTAATTTCCCAAAATGGATACCCAGCTAAATTTGAGTAAGTATAAACCCATACGTTTCTTTTCAAATTACTTTCAACATTTTATATTATTTTTTTTTACTTTTAAATAAGATATTTGTTTACTTTAAGAGAGATGTGTTGGTTTCTTGACCGAACTGCTTCTTAATATGTTTTACGTTAAATTTACTTTTTTATGGTTCTATTAGTTTTTTTTTTTATATTTACTAATTTGTTTCCATATAGCATTTAATAAATATTACTGAATAAATATACTTCATTTCCCTTTTTGATATTTTTCTTTTTTTTCTTTAGTTCTCCCTCGCGGGAGGGTGTGCTAAATAGTGTGCCACCCCTGTATGTATGCACCTCGCTAAGATGTCTGTTTATTATTTTTTTATGAATTTTTAAGCTATTGCATAGCTTCTATCGCGGGATTTGAGCGTGGGGACTGAATTAAAAAATTCCGTAACTGCAATCAACCTAACACGATCACAAAGTATGCGCAAAATGTTCGCATACTTTTAGCAGTATTTTCGCATATCTCAAGCGGAACAAATCAATTGAGGAGACAGCAGGGTGCTTCAAAAATAAAAATATTTAAGGTACAAATTTTTTAATGGCAAATAAAATATGAAATGTAATAAAAATTATATTAGTAACATTATTATTAAGCTATTGCATAGCTTTTATTGCGGACCGAATCAAAAAATTCCATAACGAAAATAAACCTAGCACGCATAATGTTTGTATATCTGTCTACATGTAACATATGTATGTATGTAAATATGTACACTAATTGATTCATGCGAAATGTTTATGTATGAGCATGCATATTATATCGACCAAAATTTTGCGAGGCAAGGAAAAATATTTTAGAATTGCAACATATTTTAAATCGACAAAAACTATGTTTCTTGTCACTTTTTATGTGTTTTCGGGTTTGCGGGGTTTATACTATGTTTGCACCGAATTGAAATCCTCTTGAAAATACAATTTATGGATTGTGGAACCAAAGTCGTTCTGACCGACATTGTGTGTTTTCGATGAGTTTTCATTGACAGTACACACATCTATTTGTTTACATTTGTTATGTACCCTACAAGAACAGTGACGGTCATCTGATGGGTAATATGGCAGTCATAGCTGAAAAAAATGTTGTCAGCGCGCAAACAAAGTTTCTATCATTTTCTTAAGAGTCTTGTTTTCTTTTTGTTTGTTTGTTTTGTTTTTTCTGAGTCATTGCTGACCATAAATCCGTCATAGCTGAAAATTGTCAGTTATGACTGAAACGCTATCAGAAGTGAAAAATTCTTTTGCGCAGTAGATAATATAAATTTTATTTCTTTAATAAATTTCAAACTTTTAATCAAAATTAGTTATAATAATATACTTAAATATAAAAAGGAATGCAACAAAAAATATAATAAAATATGAAAATATAAAAATAAATTTTCACTTGATGCCATCTCCTCCTCTCAATAGCTCTGCGTACGTGTTTCTCCAATCAGTGGATAGTTCTGAATTTAAAAATGCAAATGTAAATTAACAGTACTAACATATCAAATGTGAGTGTATTGGTGAACCCATCAGCAGTTTCTTGTAGGGTACGTTTAGGCCAATTATGGTATGTAAACAAATTGTCAACTGACATTTAGGGCTGACAAAATATGTCTTCTAATAATATCGATTAAGCTAGAGCAGGCACCGATTATAATGAGTGGAATGTAAGTTTTCAAGGGGTTTTCAGCGAAAACTGTGTTCGTTTGACAGATTTTGTATGGATGAAAACACAAGTTTTCGCCTGAAAACCTCTTGTCTATGAAAACACGAATTTTGTGTCGGTGCGAACATAGTATTACACTTTTCCTTCCAGAAGGAACATCAGAAAGTTGTTCAGTTTATGATTTTTAAAACGCATGTTCGGGGAGTACATGTAAAATTTGCGTATAAATGGTTTCAAATATAAATAAACAAAGTGAATTTATTAATGAAAAAGTAGTGAAAGAAAATGAGTGAGTACTCTATATACATATATTTTATAAAGCTATTGTACACTTTTAACGCTTTTAACGCTTTTATTTTTTTATTATTATATTTGATCTATTTCTTTCCTTTAGTAGGGTTAGTCTCATATCGGTCTGTAAGATTTTGCCAGAGAGTAGTTCCTCCACCCTACTTTCGGTATGAAGATAACTAGTGCGTTTCTCTGCTTTTTTTGGGTTATAAGCCTACGCAAGGCTGTCCCTCATTAGTTTTACTAGGTGCGTCAAAATCTGCTCCCCTCCCTTCTGGAGTAAAGCTGGAAAAATTCTGTCAGCACCTGGGGCTTTAATCTTAGTAAATGTGCTGATAGCCCATTTTACCAAGTTGTTGGTGAAGATGCCCTTAGTCACTATCCAGTCCAACGAGCCTGGTCTATACTCTGGTTGGGGTTACTTGATTCAGGGAGAAAGCTCCGGGGAAGTGCGCTTTAGAAGAGCTATCGCCTTGGAAGAGCTATCTGGCTGCCTAATATACAGCTTTGTCTCTACAGCACCTTTGGTGAGGGCCTTGTGTAGCCTTAAAGCTGCTGGGGTCGTACAGATAAACTTCCTGAAGTTATCTTTCTTAGGACTTCTTATTTCCTTACTGTATGTAGTAAGGTTTGTTCTGTAGGCGTCCCACCAATGCGCTTCGCTCTTGAATAATCTGCGTACTGATTTCCTTAGTGTTGAGAGTCTTTTTGACCACTAAGGAGCACCTCTGCTCTGCCTTCGATCCCTTTATTTTCACAGCTGTAAGGCTTTAATTTAGGGTAATTTCCCTGTATTTGCCCAATCTGTGTGTTAGGGATTGCGTCTCTATAAAGCGCATGATTCTATGGTCTGACAGTGATGATTCCATGGAAACTATCCACTGGGACTAACCCTAGTCACGAAGGTTGGCTGACAGCCAACATTACTTATTTCTAGGTTGCTCTTAAAAATATATTCTAATAAAGACTCACCTGTGTGTTGCAGTTGCTACTTCCCCACTCCAGATGATGCGCGTTGGAGTCACTTCAATGATTAGCGGGAGACTGTGTCTTGAGCGGTAGTTGACCAACTTTTTGGTACTTTTTTTTACTGCTCCCCTTCACCGCCATGACGTTCTAAAATACATAGAAAGTTAATGTCTTTCCTTGGCAACACGCGAGCTTCGGTGCTTACCTGTAAGGCCTTTTACCTCTCCTTTGAACACCCAGGATTCCCGAATCAGGAGAGCTTCCAGCTTATCCGAAATTATCGTGTTCGAGATGACAGTCGAGGCTGCCATTGCTCTATGCTGCTTCACCAGAGGTACATCCTGAGCCTAGCAGACCATCAGCATGGTTTCCGTAAAGCGCACAGTACCACCACAGCACTCAGCGTCATAAACGCCCAGATAGTTCATGGCCTGAACCAGAAGCCACCCTGCGAGAGGACGATCCTCGTAGCGTTGGACTTGTCAAAAGCTTTTGACACAGTCAATCACGCAACGCTACTTGAGGACCTGGAACAATCAACGCTCCCTCCAGGTCTGAAGCGGTGGACCATGAACTACCTGAGCGGTCGACACTCATCCGTACTATTTCGAGGTCAAAACTCCAAACTCAGGAAAATTAAACAGGGGGTTCCGCAGGACGGTGTCCTCTCCCCGTCGTACGCAGATGACTGTACGATATTGACGTCGGGCAATGGAATCGATGGCATGTGTTCAAAAGTAAACGGCTACCTCTCCGATCTTTCTCGCTTCTTTTCTGCAAGGAACTTAACACTCTCCCCCACTAAATCCACAGCGACCATCTTCACCAATTGGACGAAGGAGTACAGACTGGACCTGAACTTTTCAGTCGATGGCACAAAAATTCCGACAGTAAATAACCCTAAAATTTTAGGCGTCACTTTGGAAAGTCTGTGCTCTTTCACTCCTCATACGACCGCGATAACTGCCAAAGTACAGAGCCGCAACAAAATCCTCAAGTCGCTTGCCGGCAGCTCATGGGGAAAAGACAAAGAAACGTTGTTGGCAACATACAAGGCAATCGGCCGGCCGGTCCTCAATTATGCAGCCGCAATATGGTCGCCTGGATGCAGTGACACGCAGAATAAGAAGCTTCAGACTTGTCAGAACACTGCACTCCGGACTATCACGGGGTGCCTCTTGATGTCCCCAATCGAACACCTACATAGCGAGGCCCGTATGCTTCCGGTTAAGGAACATAACGAGCTCCTCTCCAAGCAGTTTCTGCTGGGATGTTTTCGCAGAAACCACCCCTGCAGACGCCTGCTTGCAGCGGAGCAGCCTCCTAGGAACATCAAGAGGTCCTTCCTTGACTACGTCGACGACATCAGACAGCACGCCGACCAGACTTCGGACGCAACTAACTTCAGACAAGCACTGACCGCCATTCACAGTGGAGCCATTAACACCTTCACCGACTCCCTTTCAGTGAATGGCGTAATACGAGGCAAACCACCACCCATTGCAGACACAGAGCTCGAGTTGCCTCGCGAATCTAGAGTGACCCTCGCGCAACTTCGTTCTGGATACTGTAGCAGGTTAAACTCCTACCTCACCCCACTCATCTAACACCCCTTTCCCTATGGTCCGACCCCGTCGAAACAGCTCGTTTCCTGGGCCTTCCGTTAGATGACCTCGACGACAACGAATCTAGAATTTATCACCCAAACGGGGATTAGATAATCGTTATAACAACAACAACAACAACCAGAGGTACATCCATGTGGGTAACTGTTACAGAACCGGTTCCTCTTGGGGTGGTACTGTTCCTTCGCAGGACTCTTCAGTCTGCTACCGCGGATAGTCCGTCCAAGAGCTCTTGGGTTGGTGCAGCGCTCCCTGAGCAAGACGGCTGATCTGGCTGAGTGACCTGTTCCGCAGCCTTCTCCTTGGCCTTGTCATCTTTACCCATGGCCGCCTTTTTGTGCGAGGGTCTCATGATGATCGCGCTGAACCCGAAGTTCATGCGATATTTCTGTTGGCGGATTCTCCTGCAGAACTGATCGTCATTACCAACAATCAGTCTCAATCCTCAAGTCTCTGCCAGCCAGAAAGCTATTTCCACGTTTCTGCAGTCTACTAGCAGTAGACCTGACCTGATAAATACACCCGAGAAGGAAAGGGCATCCTTTCAGCCGTCGAGCAGCTGATCCATAATGGCCTCCTGCAGGGTGGTCAACATCTCTGCTTCCATGGCCTCAGCTGGATAGTTTTTGGGCAGTACCGCCATTGAGCTGGTCCTCCGCTTAGTGCGGCCGCTTGTGGCTTAGAGTGGGCCTGTTTCTTTCAAATACATTTGGCTTAATTTGCTCGCTTTGTCTCTTTTCAGCGGGCGCGGGTTTTTGTCCATTCCGGTCCCACGCTCAATTCTTTGAGGAGAATCGTTATCCCCTCTG